GATTTAACTGTGGTTTAGGACCTATTAAAGGTATTTTTTCAATTTTGCCTATATCTATCTATCTATCTATCTTTCTATCTATCTATCTATCTATCTATCTATCTATCTATCTATCTATCTATCTAGCTAGCTAGCTACCTAGCTGGCTACGTATCCATCTCACCACATATATATTGATTGCATGTTTATTTAGCATATTAGTTTGTTGTTCTCTCATTATACTGGCTCCAAGCGTTCATTTGATCCGTAAATTGCTGGTATAGCATTTTTCAATTTTCAAGTAGAACCGACTATGTGCATTCCAGGTACTCCGTGATTTCCATCATCAATGTTGTTGTTCCGTGTTAATACAGTTGTTCAATTGGTCTACTTTGTGATCGGGACTTGCATGTATATAAATGAATGTGTGAAATATAATAAGGATGTTGGATTGGTGGACATTGTTCTTGTGTTCTTTCTCTTCGTGTGGTGCTAGTTATTATTTGACTAACCATCAAGCATAGAGTATGAGTCTTCAAAATCTTTGACTGATGTGTATTTGTTGCTCAAGGTCACTCTTACGTATTGGTCGGTTGTAGGTGTTAACAAATTTCACGCATACATGTTAATTCATAGACACGATGGAATGGGACAAAACCACTTAATGCTGTTTCGACTTTTTATGCAACATAGATCTTGACTTGTAGATAGTGATAAATTGAGCTGCGTAACGTGTTTCACTCATAGCTAATTCATGTCTTCCTTTCAAAATAAGACTATTTGAGTCACCTCTGAATTTTACGCTAATACAGACCAGTTTTGAGGATGCCTAAATCCTAGTGGGTCTCGTCATATTGAATTCATCGTTACAAGGCTTCTCATCAGATGCAAATAACCTGAATTTACGTTAGCATTATTATTATCATGATAAAACGTTTCAAATACTTTAATCAATGAGGGTTAGTTTGAAACAAGATTGTGAATATGATGAGGTAACAACACATTCTACATAAAATAGTGAATATGGATGAATATTTATGTATTGGAGATGCAATCCGAAAATGAACGGTATGAAGTTGTCAATAATGATGAACGGATGATGAATCAGAACCACTTGTCAACAAATAAGTAGTGTATTCGCACAACTTTATTGGCATTAAATAAAAGTTAATGTGAAGAGTGTTTGTCCGAGGAAAACGTTTTTTCATAATAAAAGGATAATGTAATTGACCAATGTTAAGTAATGTAACTATCTTACTTTAACAATGAGACGTTTACTACACATTCCGTATACAAAGATCAGGTTGAAAACATTTGATATTGGTTGCCTCTATAATACGGAATAGAAGTGGTGTTCGCTGCTTGCTAGTCATTGTAAACGGTTTTGTAACATTCATGTTGTGTCCACTATTCATTATATATCTAGTGATAGCACATGTGAACATTATACTTCGTTCGAAACACAGCGTTCAAAGAATATGTTCAGAAAACCTTGTAAATACCTTTCATTCAGTCCTTCCTATGTACATCATTATACAAGTACATGTCAATTAATGGATGGATAATTGAAGGTAACATCAGAAGTGTATTGATTCACTTTTGACTAGTTTATGGAAGATCTAGTGTTACACAATGAGAATAGATGGTTTTGAGGTCAGCATCATTTTAGCTCTGCTTTAATTATATTATCAATTCTACTTGGAATCTCCTCACTTTTGACAATAAGATGGATGAATTTCTTTTGTGAACAGTTGTTTGTTTGAAACCGTTCTGCTTTAACGCTTGGCTTTCCAGGTTTACATGAATGGGATGTTAATTTACCTTAAACAAATATCTACACTAGATTCTCTCTCAGTGTCTGTTGTACAGGACTTCAAGAAAACTCAGATCAAGAATACGTGATTAACCTGACTAGAACGTAAATATATTTCCACACCAAAAACCGACAACAATCCAACAGCAACCAATAATCAGTCAGGAATAAGAATAATAATAAGGATGGAGGAATATATAACTCAACTAACGCATGTCAGACTATTGACAAGTTCGACTAAGAAAATAACCAATGATTATCATTCTCTTCCACATATACTTTATGATGAATTTCTTCGACTATTCACGTTTTATACGTCATTCTTCAATGTGTATTGATTTCTTCTCTTTCTTCTATTTTTTCAGTTGAACCCTTAACTAATTATTACACTTCATCGGATGTGAATTCGTGAGGATTTTCTAATTTCTAATTAAATCATACAGTTTGATGAACATGGTTATGTGTTAGTTATTCACTGTTTGTTAGCCGTTTTTTAGCGAGTTTGTTTTCTAGTAACTACTAGCTTCGAGAGGAAGTTTCAGGATTTTTAGTGAGAAGTCTTGACCAGTGTAGATAAACATTGTCAGCACTGAATCTCTCACCCACGAAAGACAATAGAAGGTGGTCGCGCAATATCGTATATTCATTGACGTTCAATATTGACACTGTTGGACACTGTCTAAATGGTATACATATTAAGTACTTGCTCACGAAACCGAATGTGGTGTGTTCGATTCTCACGTTTGTGGGTATGAATGCAGAACACTGAGGGGTCACATACTCAAACAATCTGTGTTCAATGCTTTCAGGCTTTCAATGGTGAGTCAAAATTGATCAGTTACTGATGTCAATGACCATTATTTGTACAATCCAATTGATGACCACATATCAACAAAGACTGATATGATATGTTCTATCATTCTTCATTCCGACCTTCCATTTCCCCTTCTCAAAAAACTAACTTATGTGCCTTGATCTCTGAAGGTCTTGGAGAGCATCTTGGTTATTACCACCTTACTACTCATGTCAAACTATTGACAAATCTTTACTGTTTTCGTCCAAACATTTCCGAAATCAACACAACATCATCGTCAATCGGATGAATATTGACAAAATATAAATACTAAATATAACTCTCCACTATACCTCACGTCCAATCTAACAACGAAAACATGGAAAACCTATTGTTGCAGATATACGATTACTTCCCCGATTATTCCATTTCCACAAATACAGCAGATTCCAATGAATCCCATCTATCCACATGGAACACTGTACGTGTATCTCAGTGAGTTAGTCGACCACAAATATTTCATTCAATCCAATACACCACACAATATACATGAATTGTCTAAATGCTTACTAGAATGACTGAAAGTGGTTGCCATCATTTCGATACAATAACAGAACACGAAATAAAACAAAATGAATGTTTGAAATAACGAAGTAAAGCCAATTCATTTTGCTAAGTGTTTGTTGATAAACTGTGTAATTAGTCACAGGTATTCTACTCATCTCCATAGAAATGCATTTGGTCAATGCTTTATTGAAGCTAAACTATCGATTTCACAAACTGGAAATCAGACGTAAAGAATTCGACAAACAATAAGTAGAGATGTATATGAAGGTATGTATTCTTATAAACGAGGATATCTTGTGCGATAACTTCATGATATTCACGTCTAAATATGAAGATTGCTTAATCAAATGTTTCTTCTCAATAGTAACACATTCTTATACAGAGGAATTGTTTCTCAACAATTTCAAACTGTTATCTCAAATTATTTGCATCACAATCCAACCTTCAACTCCATTCCATTCCATTCCATCATTCAGTGGATACTATTTACAATCTGTCATCACTGACAACATTCTTTCTTGTAAATGGTTGAATAGCAAGCTAGTTGTGTCTCTGTGTGTCAATGTGGAAGACAATCAAGCAGATGGTTGTCAATTGTATCTGTTCAACAAGTTGACATGATTTGACGAAGCATAAGTAAAATGCATTCTACAACTAGTACCACTGTAGATGAAGTAACGTGGATTCTTTTGACGCTGTTCATTGTGATCCAGGTTATTCGAATTTGTACGGAGATTGACCTATGTGATTTTAATAGTTGGTCGGTGATACTTCAACACACACTATGTTTACATGACCACTCAGTGATATCATCTACCTCCCGAATAGACTATTAGATATGCAGTATTTACAAAGTATCTAGTTCATCCAATTTATCTTGGACTACCACAAAACTGATAGTGATGCCTATGTGGCTAGATTATTTTTAGTTTGATTATTAGTATTGACATCAGCTTCTCATTGCGTGTCACTTCACAGTTCATAATTCACGACTATCATTCTTCCAATTACAAATTACTCAAAACAATTAACACTTGCACACAGTTCACTGAAACATTGCATAGGAGTGAACAAGAAATAATTAGACATATCCTATTTTACTATCTTACAAACTGTAGGGAATAGTGACATTATCATCAATCAGTCATGCAACAGGCTAAATTGTATTAATCTTCAGTGTATTATTAATAAAAGAATTGTCTTAATTGTTGTAGTGGATATGTGTTTAGTAGACATGCTTTACATATCTCACACTGGTCATGTTCATGAAAACATGTTGAACACAATTGTTCCTATAAGTGTCACTTTCGTCTGACATTGATTGGTTTCGCGATTGGTTCGGTGACTTGTCAACATGGTACTCCTCACGAAGGGAGAATTTAATTTCCATCAATCTGGTGAGATGAGTCGATTAATCAAAGTCTTAACAACACAATCGATGGCTTACATCCATGTCGAACAGAGAGAATTCAGACAGTTCAACTATCTCATGATGAAATAAGATTATTCGTGCAATTCAGCCAGTGAGTCAAACTGACTAATCAACGTCTTCTGAGTGATAAGATGAGATTTGTCGAAGACAAACAAGAAAACGAAACGGCACAGATTTCGCATACTAACACTAAAACACCAGTGATCTTCCTGATCAAAATTGGAACACTGTTCTATACTGAATCATGTTTCAACGTATGCTCGATTAGTAAACCGATACCTAATCATAGTACCAAAATCAAAACTGAACAGAAATGCAACTATTCAATTATATTTAAACACACGAAGATGAACAGTCAATATTTATCTAAGTAATCACAGCATTCTTGCTTATCTCTATTCAAATCTTTACCAACACTTCCATTCTCAATCTAATTTCAATCTATTTCAATTCACGTTTCACAACACCACCCATAAGCGATTCTTCGTCGTTGTCATCATATACATATGACCCATCAACAGGCTCATAACTGTCTTGTTGATTTTCATCAAATCCTATGTTATCGTAATATTGAGGTTGTTGTAAATATGGGAGTTGTTGAGGTTGCATATTTATCCCTTCCATTTGCATGTGAGGCTTAATGGGTGGATATCCATATTGTTGTAGTTGTTGTTGCTGTTGTTGACCTTGTTGTGAAGGATAGTAAGCTTGTGCTAGTTTTGACTGATATTGACGTTTCATCATTTGTGATTGACCAATGGGTTGTCCATATCCACTCTGTGCTCCGTATGAATTGGAATATTGGGAGTATGCGCTCATTGGTTGTTGTGAATTGTGGTTAATTTTCCCTCCCATTTGTCTCTTCATCATCATATTGGATGAGTAGTATTGTTGTTGTTGTGGTTGTGATTGTTGTTGTTGCGGTTGCTGTTGTTGTGAATTTTGTTGTTGTGGTTGTTGTTGTTGTTGTTGCTGCGATTGTTGTTGTTGCATTGGTTGCTGCTGTTGGCCATATGATTGTACACCTTGCATGAATTTCGACTGCAGTTGACGTCTGCTTAATTTAGGCAGATTATTTGATCCTAAGTAAGTATTTGCTAATTGAATACCTTGTCCTAATTTCTTCTCATAATCTGCTATTTTTCCAACGCTACTTTTCAATCCATTCAAATCGATACTTTGTGATAATTGACAACAACAACTCATCATGATTATGTATATGGATAGAGATGACATGAATTTATATGTGGCCAAATTGTTGATTTGCATTGTTCAATATGATCACTTGAAACATGGAAAGAAAGATGAAAACACGGTTTAATTACAGACTCAATACTCAGATGGAAATGTGTGTGAATGTTGTATTAAATGCTGGTTTATGATGAACAAAAGAGAATGCATACATGTTATGACGTAATAATGAATAATAATGTTTGAAGCAGTTTTCTCTTATTAATAATACGCACTGCTGAGGAGTCCCACAGTAGGACGAAATGGTCGTCCAATGCTTTCAGGTTTTCTAAGATGTTCCAGCTTCAATTGACTCATGAACTCAACTATTGAATTACTATAATATCCACAAAAACCCCCACTGATATAATTTTACTGTTTATTTATTAAGAAACTAGATTACAATTTGTTCATTTTAAATTCACTTGATATTGTTTACTTCATCGTCAATGGGAAGATTCAAGTAAGAACAATACCAAGCGAATTTCAACTTCATCCAATTGCACAAGCTAGTAGCTATTAGACCTCAATATCCAAGTGAATAACACTATGGAGTCTGAAGCGAACTTATAACATATATTGTATTTATCGTCATAATTACTTTCTCTCAATCCCTGTAACAGTTATTGTGGAGTCCCATACAAGGACGAAACGGTCGTCCAGTATTCCTAGGATCTCAATAATGGTCTAGATCGGATCGACTCATGAATTCAACTAATAAATTTACTACAATCTCCACAAATCCACATTCGCACAGTAACAAATTGTCTTCTTTTGTATTATTATTATTACTATCAGATCTGTATGATCATGTACGCTTGATCATATGTTATAGTCGATGTACATATGCCTTTATCCACCTTAAATGTTAGTTACTTACTGATTGATTCGGTTCTCAATTCACCTTCATATTCGCACGATCGCGTGCAAACATTAGCTTTTTCTGCACGAATTCGTTTTTTCTACTTATGGCTCAGCCATCTGTGCTACTCAATAATAAACTGTATGTTGAGAAAACCCAGAAGACGTCTCTAAAAAGCCAAGAAAGGCTCTGAAAACACTGAGAAGCATCTTATCCAATCAACGATCACTAGAAATTTGGCCATAAACATCAAGAAAGTGAAAAGTCACATGTAGAGTTTCTGAATGGATGATTACTTATACTGCTACTATGTATAGTAGCATTCCGGAATTTTCGGGAAACTAAGGATATCTAAAATACTATAAAAACCCTATATTTTCTGTACATGAACGAACCCTTGGAGTAAAGTGTCTCTTACATATTTCACGCCTTTTCTCTCGTGTTCAAGTCGCTGTGTAGATCTAGCCTGGGGGTTACTAGAAGAGCTTAGGAACCTAATCTGGCGTCCAGTTAGCTAGACTTATCACTGTAGTCGGGGTTTCGTGATGCCTTCTGAATTCATACACCGTCAGAGTTTACTTAATAACGGTTATCAGGGTGATTGATGTACCAAGCCTAAAGAATTATCTCGAATCTTGTTTACTGCAATGTAGATAACTCAATAGTTATTGAAATATAATTTCACACGAAATCGTTTACGCACCAATAATCATCAATGTTATTGACAGAAATAGATACAAAGTTATACTGTTTTAAAAATGGCACACAAAGCAGTTTGCACATGGATTCGATTTAATGAATATTGAATAAACATTGACTGTAGACGTATACACAATTGAAAAGTAGTGGGGATTCTTACACATCTAAATTCGAAACATCACATTTTTGGCAGTCAACTCTCACGAAACCATCCTGTATCATAGGACCTAACACAGACCACGACACGTTTTGCATCAATCAGTCTATACACAAGTCCGCATTTCCAATATAGTTCGTTTGTAATACATCACGGCATTTAATCAGTGTCCCGATTCAACAAGTCACGGGTTCCTAACACTACACTCCAGAATCCATCATGAAGTCAAATTCTAACGTACTGACAACTATAATTCACCAAGTTGTTTAGTGCAAAGATTTGTTCAGTCTGAATATGGCTCTAGTCACAAAACAATCATACGAATGTCAAACAAAATACTTTGATGAATCACTGGTATTGGGAATAATTGCATTGTGCAAGTAGTGACAGTGTCTTCACAATCATTACCTCTTCAAATATTCATAAATATCCTCGATTTCTTCAAATTGCATTTGAGTAGGAAGTAATCAGTTTTGTGGTTATGTGATGATACAGAATAAATTTTACTATTTCACATTGTGTATAACACCAACTAAATTATTAATTGTGGTTTAAGTGTACTCTTGTACTCTTGTGTCACGTATAAATGTCACTGATTACTGACAATGTGATACACGGTTTTCGAGTTATGGATTGTTTACAAATTAGATCGATTTGCGTAACACGAATAGAAGTTTTGAGAAAATCAGCCTTACTCAAACTTCGGAAAATATCAAGAAATATATGCTCGACTCTACTGTATAGCACATTCCATCGTTGGTGTAAATCCATGGAATGGACAGTTTGTCATGTTGGAATAGAAAATCATACACAGTAGATGACAATTGAGTACTTTGTGAATTCAGTATGCCAAAACTCAGGATTGTATCGGAAGTTGCACTTGTTGCACAGTGAAGTTACAACAGACATTTACTTGTGGATAACTAATGATTTTCTTCAACAGATGATATCTTGAATGAAGAAGCTTAGCGAGTACCACAATTGAGTAAGTCAATAGTAATAAGGATGAACAAGAACAACGTTATACTCACCTCTTCCTTTGGTAACGAATCTTTTCGAACGTTTCAAATATTATCGCATATTTATATTCGTCTCACCCGTTGCCGTAACAACAACTAATTGTCATCTAGTCATTAATCTGTATCACAATGTCGTAAACAAATTAGTAGACATGACTGAAATTTCAAGTACACTACACCTGACAAGTCTGATAGTTACCAATACATCATCTACATATATCTGTGTGTGTGTGCTATTTGTGACACCTTTTTGATAACATTGAATCGAATCAACTACCACCATATATTCGGTCATAAATGTGACCAGTTTTGAATGAGGGTCCTGCATATTTCGTTTGATGGTACTTGTTAAGTGTGAAAAAATTGGGAGAATAAACTGAAAAGTAAATTGTTATGAAGCCAATTTACGGTGAACGTGTATAAAATAGATTCACTATGTATGTTTGTCAAGCTATTGGTTTATTGTATGTTTGACATGATACTGATTTGTAACGTCCCATTTCACAGGTCATCTATACTTTGTTTTGACCAACCAATTAGCGTGAATGAATTAAAGACCTATCACTCGCCTTTGTATCTCCGATATTCTAGTTAATTGAGTGTTGATATTTCTTATTTATTTTATGATTGGTTGAACAGCCAGGCCCTGGAATGTAGTGATCTTATCACCTAATCTCAATGCACATATCATCATAAGGGCAAGTGAAAGTCAGAAGTAAACAGATGAATCCTTTGACGTTCTAGTTTAACAAATAGACAACGGTGAACATATGTTGGATTTCTAATAAGACAAACGCTTATTATTAGCAGGTAGAAATTTAAGGCTTAAGAACGATGTTTAATCTGGTTAAACTGATATCAAAACACCATTGAATACTAATAGATCATCTGTCTATCAGCCATAGTTGGAAAGGCTCGTCAGGAGACGTTATGGCGAGGATTGGCAAAGCAAGGGCCTCATTCCTACAATTCAAGAACATATGGAAATCAAAACGACTTTCAACCAATATCAAAGTGACAATCTTCAATACGAACGTCAAGGCAGTCAGTTCTACTGTATGGAGCTGAAACTTCGAGAACTACAACAACCACCATCAAGAAGGTACAAGTATTTATAAATGGTCTTCTACGCAAAATACTCAACATCCATTGGCCAGATACCATCAGTAACAGCCTTTTGTGGGAGTGAACAAACTAGATTCCAGCTGAAGAGGAAATTAGGAGAAGTCGATGGAAATGGATAGGACATACATTATGCAAATCATCAAACTGCATCACGAGGCAAGCCCTAACTTGGAATTGTGAAGGGAAGCGGAAAAGAGGGAGGGCAAAGAACACATTACGTCGGGAAATCGAAGCAGATATGAAAAGGATGAATAAGAGCTGGAAGGAGCTAGAAAGGATTGCCCAGGATAGGGTTGGATGGAGAACGGTGGTGAGCGGCCTATGCTCCTTTACGAGGAGTAACAGGCGTAAGTAAGTAAGTAAGTTTTATTTTGACTTGAGTCATTACATCGTTAGTTTATCGTTTGTAGAATTCCTTAGATTATTTGCGTAGATTAAATTCTCACGAACATTGTTATGTACGTTCGACATGGCTGAAACTCTCTTCAGTCGTGTTTTTCACGATTTAACGTCAACTACAAGTCACAAACAGAATTAGAAATGACGAGAATAAAGTTAATATATAGTAACGATAAGTTTCGTCAGTTGTCCCGTATAAGAAATATGTCAGTAACTTTTTCTGAAATGATCAATCTTCAACTTGTTTAGTGACAGATGATATCATTTTTGAATATCAATGATGCTAGGACAGAGTGTTAGTCAATTGATAGAAGTAATGAATAACTATTTAGTAGATCCGGATGGATTTGATAAAAACACCCTATGTAAGTATATCTTTTTTTCAAGAGAAACTGATGTGGACACATAACAAACAGTAACAGAGTAAAACAAACGATATTTCTAACATTATTTACTTACTTACGTCTGTTACTCTCGATGGAGCATAGGTCTATGACCAGAATTCTCCAACCCACCCTGTCCTAGGCCTTCCTATCTAGTTCTATTCAAATCTTGTTCACTCTTTTCATATATGTCTCTGTTTCTTGGCCTAATGTGTTCTTTGGTTTTTCTCTTTTCCTTTGGCCTTGAGGATTCCAAGTGAGGACTTGCACTGTAATACAGTTGTGTGCTTCCCTCAATATGTGTCCTATCCACTCCCACCACTTCTTGATTTCTTCCTCCAACTGGAATCTGGTTTGTTCTCTCGCACAGTAGGTTGTTGATGACAGTGTCTGATCAACGGATTCGAAGTAT